TACTGGTTCCCAGAAGTCTGTTTGACATCACAGTTGCTTTGGGCGAGTCAGCTCTTGTTTGTGTTTCTGTTTCTCGTTCTCTAAATTGCTCTACAGAATGGTACTACTTATCTTACCAAATAGAAGATAAAAATATAAAAAAACAATAAATAGGACAACTGCTATGAGAGTATGTGACTAGTTTCCATGGGAGTTGAAACTAGTTATTATTTCTTGAAATTATTTTTCAAGAAAAATTAATTTTCTTTCATGAACAGTATGGTGAATGACACCTATTTTTCAAATTTTAGAAATCTCCCTATTGCTGCAAATACTTACCAACAGTCTATATAATTTTCAAGTTTTCGTTTTTAAACAAATCATTGAGATTATTCATACATAAAAATAATATGTATTCATAGCAAAATGATCACTTTTGATTTTTAAAATTTTGTTTGTCTGTGAAATCCACAAGTTGGAAAAAGTGTTTTACGTAAGTCAATTCTTATCGAAATTCATTACTATTATGTTTCAGTTAAAATTTTTGTCTGAACATCTTTGTTCTGGAGGTCTAAAATTGCCTTCACATTTTAAGCCTTGCTTTCAGGCAAACAGCATCTGATTCTTGAGAGTGTAAGAACTTCTCCAACTTCTTCAGTATTTTTAGGGAGCCAGCCAAGTCATGTGAGTGAACGGTAGACATTCCTAAAGAACTGAATCAGATGTTGGTCTACACTTGTTTTGTATGGATGGGTATGAGTCACTGTTTGGACCCTGTCCCCAGACTTGTAAATTCTTAGTGCTGGGACCACTTCTCACTTGTACCTGGTGAGTCCTTCCTTCTTGCTTAGGGCCTCTGGGGCCTGGTGTAGCTTCCTTTTCTTTTTACTGTCCTTGTCAGTTGAACCTCTGGGAGTGTTTCACACACTCTACCATTTCCTCTGCACACTGGGATAGCTTTGCTAGTTTTCACTTTAATGAGCTGAGGACAAGCATGCACACTCTTCGTTTTATGTTTCTTAATTTCACAGATATGGATTACAAAAAAGGGGAACTCCAGTTGCAATTGTTAGAAAACTTTTGTTCTGTGTGACATATTTCCTATTATCTAACCTTTACATTTTAAAGGAAGATTTATTTTTCATTTATTTTGAAGTTGTTGCAGAGAAAAGAGGAGAGGGACAGCAGGAGGGAGAGATCTTTCCTCTCCTACAATGGCCGGCACTGGGCCAGACTGAAGCTAGGAGCTTCTTCCGGATCTCACATATGTATGTCAGAGACCCAAACACTTGGACCACCATCCAGTGCTTTTCTGAAGCCATGAGCAGCAAACCAGATTACAAATGGAGCAACTGTGGCATGGTTCCTATAAGGAATTCCAGAATCACAAATGGCAGCTTTACCTTCTATACCATCTGTGTCAGACCCTAATGTTAACCATTTTGATAGACATGGTAACCAAGAGTCAATCTCTCAGGTCAATTTAAATGCAATAATAGGATAAATCATATCCACCCCAGGATAACAGATGTAAAAGCTCAAAGTTTGTGAACATTGCTTTATCATGAAAAGGGGACTCAGCAGATGTAATTTCATTAAGAATCTTGGCCTAAAGAGACTGTTTGGATTACCCTGGTGATGCCTAACTCCAAGCACAAGTGTCTTTAGAAGGAAGTAAATCAGCAGACGGAAGATCTTCCTCGCTGTCTCTCCTCTCTGACTTTCCAATAAAAATAAAATAAATCTTAAAAAAAAAAATAGAAGAGAGGCAAGGGTGAGTTTACTCCCATTCAGGCAGCAGAGAAGGCATTGTGAACCAGGAGACAGATTGGAATCACATACTCAAAGTCATCAGTGTCCATAATTACCAGAATCTGAAAGCGGCAGAAACCCTGCTCTTCTCAATACTTTTATTTTGACTGACGGAAACTGATGCTGGACCGTTAAGACTGCGGGGCAATAAAACTCTTGCTTTCTACCACAAAGTCTATAGGAATGTGCTTTGTAGCCTCAGGAAATCAGTAACAAGTGAACGCTTATTTCAAATGCGTGCAGTATGACCTGCCTGATAGGTCACACCTAGAGCAAGGTTTTTTCGAGGCCCAATGAATCCTTTTCTGGAACTTGACCATCAAGCTGGGTAGAAACTCTTTTTACATTTTGGGCAAGTTACAAGGAAGAAACTGGAGTTTGAGAACAGCACAGGAAGAAGGATGATGTACTTAACCATGATTTATTCATTCAATAAACATTGTGTAAATTCCTTCTTTGTGTCACACTTTGTGCCACTTTTAGGAATAAAAACTGAATAAGAAGTTTTGTTTACTGGGAGAATTAGACACATCGTTTACAACAACTAAGCATGTGTAAGAAGTGGAAATGATCACATGAACAAATGATGACGAACGTGCTGAAGAGGGCACGTTTCCAGGATGCGGTTGTCTAGGTATGGCAGGGACGTGGACTAGGAAATGTTTCATAAGCTAGGCCTCTGAGCCGAGTGCAGTAATAATCCAGGCCGAAGGGGCAGGATTCTATTAGTCTTTCGCACAGGCGTTTCATCTTTGAGGGACATTAACTGCAAAAATAGCGTTTCTATGTTAAGTAATAAATGATAGGTCAAGGACATCTTTCTTTAACTGCCAGAGTTTACAGCTAGCTCAGGATGATTCAGGTGTTATGCCACACATTTAAAAAACACAAAATTTCCATTATTTTAACCAAGAACAACAAAAATAAATCATTTGAGTTTCTCTTATAAAGTCTTTTCCTAGCAATGGTAAGATTTTCATTATGTACATGGAATACTGAGATAGCTACAGAATTCTCTGCTCATACATTGAACAGAAAACTTAGCTGGGGGAAACCAATTAATACTTGCATGAAACAATCTGGTTTAGAGAAAATTATATTGCAAAGAACCTTATTAATGAAAATTATTCACAACTGACAATAATTCTGTCCTTTGAGGATGGCTTCAGTATTGTTTTAAGTCAACAGAAACAGACGTGGGCTACTTTTACAGAAGTATAAAAAATAATGATTAATAATTAACACTTGCTTGTATCATGTCATTTTATGTGAGGCTTTCACCAAAGTAATGGGATGCCTTTGCCACCTCAGGCAAGTTTCTTCATAAGAATGTCAGTGTCCTCATTTTCAAATTGGGGTGCTACTCCCATCCACATTGGCAGCTGCTTCTAGAATTTAGTGAAACTATACTAATACCACAGACACTGATACTTAGTAGTATATACTTCAGAGCCGTATTCATCATGTAACCATTCTTAAATTTATGTTCATCAAAAAGGAAGAGAGAGAGAGAGAGAATTTCTTTCATCCATCTGATTGTTCACTTTTCAAATGTTGGCACTAGGTAAGCCTGGGTCAGACTGGTGCCATGATCCTGCAGTTTAGTGCAGGGTGGCAGGCATGCAAGCACCTGCAGCATCCAAACCAGTGAGTTAAACTTCACCCTTGGCCCCCCACCCCATTTTTTGTTTTTTTTTTTTTGCCTCTAACTTTGTTTCTGCATTGTAGCAGCTGGGCTTTGAAAAATTGTCTTTTTGTTCCACTATTCTTCACTTGCTTTGCTGTTCTCAACTTCTGGGGGTGATTTATTTTGCCAGCCAAAGTTTCCTGCCCCATGTGTAGAACTCAAAGTCCTAGGAGCACTGCGATATTCTAGAATTTTACCTCACCAAATATTTATACTACCTGGAAACTCCATGCATTGTTTCTCTACTCATTTAGTTATTGCACGGACAATACATGTATGGTATCATTTATCAATAATATACTCTCTTGTTTCAGAAAGAGATGAGGCAGTTTCCAGGATTTGGTCACAAAACAGGAAGATCATATATTTAAAGAAAGAAATGATGGGCCATAGGAAATTGTGTGAACTCTAACTGGAATTTGACATGGATTCACTGCAGTTTCAAACTGGAGTTTGTTATTATTAGTCATTTTATTAAATTGTTTGGGATACATTGCATATGGAAGGGCAATATGATTTCAGAAAATTTTAGATTCAATTACATGCTAGGACCAGTGTTGAAAAATTCATTAAAAGTTGAAAAAAAAAAATACCAGCTTGAAAGGCATGAGAACTTTTCCATCACCTGTTAGCTATTAAATTTGAGAAAGTTTTTGGCTTTACTGAACAAACCTTTTTTTCATCATTCATCTGTGTGGCTAAATTATTTTGGTCCTCTTCACTTTTTCGTGTGCGTGGTGAGCCGGTTCAATCCCCCATTTCTCAGCCTTCACTGGGCCTCCGATTCAAGTCTGAGAGGAATTCTCTAACTCTAAAACTCTGAAACTAGGTAGTAAAAGCAATTTCTAACTAGAGTGAATCTGGGATTCCCTAAAGACGCTGAGAATTACCTCAACTTTAACCGTTAACTCGCTGGACTTTGTCAAGCAACCCCTGAAAAGCTTTACCTCAGTACCTGACGGGGTGGGGCTGGGGGAGGACTGGGGGCGGGGGACCTACGCTCGGGGGTGGGGTCAACCACTGAGTGGGCGTCGGAATGGGGCCACCGGTACACAAAAGGCTATTTCCGGCTCAGATTTCTTTAAAAAGGCTCTTTGGAACTTTCTTTGGGGTTGGCGGTGGGGTGGGGGGGAGAAACAGACCGGTCCCAAAGAACTAGTTGGATGTGCGTGTGTGTGACTGAGATGCAGTAGCTGTGCGTGTCACTCTCCGCATCTCTGAGGGTGCTGGGCAGGCCCGGCTGAGAGACTGCGGGGGACGCCTCCAGCTTCCCTCCCGGGACATCCTGAGCGGCTGCAGCCACAACAACAGGCTCGCCCCCAGACAAAGGGCCGACTCGGCGGCGCGCTCCGCCTGCTCTGCCTGCTCCGCCGCGGTGCTCCGGCTCGCCGACCCCGCGCACGCCCCGCGCACGCCCCCCGGGTCCTGCAGCCCGCCCGGGTGGCCCGGCGCCGCGCCTCGGGACTTCCACCTCAGCCTCTGACCCTCGGTGCCCGCCGCCGCACGTCCCCGCCTCCTGCCCGCACCGCCGCGCGCGCCTCGCGGGCCGCCCGGCGTGGAGCGCGGCGCCATGGCTGTGTCCTGGAGGAGCTGGCTGGCCAACGAAGGGGTTAAGCACCTCTGTCTGGTAGGAAGGCGCGCGGGGCGGCCCTGGCGGGCGTTTCGTCTGTCTCTCCAAGCGGAGGCTTTAATTCATTCTCTGAGAGTGCGCGGGCGGGACGTTGGAAGGGGGAGCTTGGTCTGCCGTTCGAATGGTTTCAACTAATAAAACTTGACGCTGATAAAATCTGGAAATAATAACGATTTTTTTCCCCTTCCTCCAAGTGCATGGGAATTTCCCTTCACAGGGATGGTTGAGCGGATTAGAGGAAGAAGAGGTCACTCTAAGTGAACACAGCTTTTTTTTGTGTGTTTGTTTTCAACCCTTTAAACACTCGTGCCCCCTTCGCCGCTGTCCCAGGCTGCTGGAACAGGATGGCTTCTCTCATTTCTTAAGTCTCCTTTTGTTCTGCAAGGAGTGAGGGTAGGGCTTTGGGGAGTGTCTGTAGATCACTTAATGGGCTTAACTGCAACCCAAACACTTCATCTCAGGTGCAGGGGAACAGTAAGGTTAGAGTGCATTTCGTCTTGCTAGTTTGTTGCAGACGCTTTCTGTAGTTACCAGTTGGGATCCCGTTGAAAGCCCTCTATCCAGGGGATGCACGTGTGGTCTCCGTTCATCAGGTGACACATACTTTCATATTTTTAATTGTTTTCTCTCTGCCTTGTTGATTTAGCTCACCTGGCTCTCCCTGAATGGCCTGCTTTTCTGGAAAACCTTCCTGCTGTATAACCAAGGGCCTGAGTACCATTACCTACACCAGATGTTAGGCGTAAGTAAAAGTTGGGTGACCTAGTGGGTTGGGGTGCACGCTGCAAACTTAGGCTTTAGGCTTGGTCAGCTCTTCCAGTCATTCAAGGCGGTTTTATTGTACTCTTTCAGAGCATCTGTTGGCCTCTTTAGCGGTCTAGCTTTCATGACTTATCTTTTGCTCTTGTGCAAACTAGAAAGACTGATTCTTTTAAGAACCAAACTCTATGAAAGTGAAAAGAATGGGTCTGCAGGACGAGGGCATTAGTGGCCCAGCCAAGTTGGTGCATTCTGCCAGCCGCCTAAGTGCTCTGAGGATTGCTTCGCGGAGGATGGCCAGGACAGGCTGTCAGCTCTCACCGAGCCAGGCTCTCAGCCTGCCCCTGCGCTCTCCAGAGCACTTCTGCACTGTTTGCTTTCACTGACAGTTCCCGCAGACTCTGTGTCCACGGGTTATTCCTTTCTGGACATTTTTCAGACACTTGTCTGTGGCAGTGTTTTGTACTAATATTAGAATGAAGTGGCACAAAAACATTTTGTTTGACATTGGCTTTTTCTCTTTTTATCTATTGTCTGATCTTTCAAATCTTATTTGACGCCTTATCAAAAACAGCATTATCAAGGACATCTTATTTTGTTTAAGGAGATTGTGCTTTTTAAGGAAGAAGCAAAAATGTCGAAAGCATCTCAAAAATGGTATTATACCTGCCAAAGCGGAATTTTGTTATTGGTGTGCTTCTCATGGTTTGATGATTATTTAAGCTTAGCTCAGATGTATTCAGTGCAACCATTTCTCTCTCTTGTGTTTAGCTATACTGACTTACCTTTTAAACCTTAGAACTACATTATTAACTGGTACATCTAAAGGCTGCAATAAGTTGTTGCTGAATTAATTGAAACATTTTTTTGTTTTGCACTGCAAAGTGCTATTTCTCATGATCTGCTTGTCACATAATTTATATGATTTTGAAGTTTAATATTTGTGGATTTAACTAATACATTGAGAGATATCTTAAAGACAAACTCAATTGGTTGATATATATATTTTTAAATTATTTGAAAGAGTCTTGGAGAAAGGATGAGAGAGGGTAAAAGAGAGATTCTGTCCAGTGGTTCACTCAATAAATGACCTCAACTGATAGGTCTAAACTAAGCAAGACCAGAAGCCTGGAACCCAATCTGGGTCTCTCATGTGAGTGCAGGAACTCATGTACTGGAACCAACTTGTGCTGTCGTGGCATGTCAGCGTGGACCAGGGTGAGGAGGAGAGGAGCCAGGAGTGTAACCAGCACTCCAGTGTGGGATTTGTATGTCCCAGCTGAGAACTTGACAGTGTCACAATGCCTGACCTTTATTGGTAACTCTCCTTTCCCACTTCCTCATCCTTTCCGCATCCGTTTTTTCCTTCCTTCCAACCTTTCACCAACAATTCAGAAACTTATGAAAGCTGTGCTATTCAAATAGGTGCATAGAGTATAACATCTCCCTCCCTCCCTCAGATTGCTTACAGTCTAATCGAAAAATCAACAAATAATTAGAATTTGATTTAAAAAAACACAAGTTTTATTTTTTTCTCTAGTAGCCACTAGATCTATTGGTCTGTAATTTTATTTGTTACTGGAAATTCTTTAAATCTGAGTTAATGAACAGGAAGCTTTCCAGTGGGAGCTTGATCTGACCTATTATATAACTTGAACTTGGAAAAACCTCTTGAAAGTTAAGATGGCAAAATTTTCTCTGGATTAAGTGGTATTTGTGTTAATATAATATCTTAATACTGGAAACATTGCAATAACTTGGAAAGCAGTGTCTGAACTTTGGATTTTTAACTCTGTGACATAGAATAAGTTAAAATAACTTCTTTTAAAAAATAATTATGTTTGAATCCAGCAATTTGGATGCTATATATATGAATTTCAGATGATAGGTAAAATGTGATTAAGATTACACACTGCTCTTCAGGCACCACTTGTTGCTGTCCCGCAGCGATGGACTTGGTGCACGAAGCCGATAATAACATGCGTGGACCCTGACTAATGGTCAAAGCCGAAGTTTATTAGGGGGATCAGACTTTATACACTGAGAGTCCATACTGTTTCCTTCTCTTGATTGGGATTCCTTTTGTTTTGTATATTACACCAGGTGTTCTCATTTACATGCTGTTTATACAAAGGTAGCCATTTGGTTGTTGTCATGCAAATACTGTCCAATGAACTGCAATCCTGTGCTCCCTGACCTTCCAGGGTCGCAATGTCCTCCTACAACACACGCAATGAAACTTCAGCAAGTTCTTGGAAATGGGATGTAAGGCTCATTTTATTTATTTTTATTTATTTATGTTGAAAAGGTAGATTTACAGAGAGAAGGAGAGACAGAGAGAAATATCTTCTGTCTACTGGTTCACTCCCCAAATGGTCACAGTGGCTGGAAGGCTGGAACTAAACCAATCTAAAGCCAGGATCCAGGAGCTTCCTCTGGGTCTCCCACTCAAGTGTAATGGCCAAACCCTTTGGGTTGCCTTCCTCCACTTTCCCAGGCCACAAACAGAGCTGGATGGGAAGTGAAAACTCACGGGAATATGTTCCACGTGTCTATTTTCATTCTACTTAAGTGCTTCCTTTAAGGGAGGGTGACAGTGTGGAGCTAGGAAGTTAGTCCCTGGTGGAGAAGATGCTCACTTCCCACACTGGAAGAGTGCTGGGATTGGATTCTTGGCTCTGGCTCCTGACTGAAGCTTTCTGCCACTGTAGACAGTGGGAGACAGTGGTGATGACTCTAGCAAGGGAGTTGTCACGTGTCACACAGGACACTTGGGCTGAGTTTCTGCTGTCCAACTTTGGCTCTGACCCAACCAGCCCTGGCCATTTTGAGCATTTGGGGAGAGAAATAGCAGAGGAGTGTCCTCCTTCTTCCCCTTCTCCTTTCTGCCCTCCTAATCAAACAAATATCTTTAAAAAATGACAAGTTTATGAGGTTCAAGGTCTACGGCACATAGTATAGACTTGATAAATATTGTGCAAAGGGGAGTGAAGAAACATTTTAAAGATGGAAGAAATAGAAGACTAGGAACAAAAAGGACAGAAAGTAGATTGAAGCAGTCAGATGATTATAAATTAATTTTCATCAAAACCCAATGACTATAATATGTTGATCTTTAAGCTTCTGAGTCAGGATGGAACAATTATCAAGACTTGCTATGGAAAGCAGTAGTCTTCTCATCTTTTCAACATCACGCTGAAAGATGAAATGTGCCTTCTAAAATAGTCACTTTGCAGTAATTACTGCTTATGAATTTTTTCCTCCAAAGGTTTATTTCTCTGAAATCTGGAGTTATAGAGACAGGTGATGAGAGGCAAAAAGGAGAGAAAGTGGGAGAAATAGATACTTTGCATCTCTTGGTTCACTCCCCAAATGCTTGCAGTGGCCAGTGCTGGACCAGGCCAAAGGTAAGAGCTAGGGCTCCAAGCACTTGAGCCATCCCCTGCTGCTTTTAGTGGCAGTTAGCAGGGAGCTGGACCAGAAGTAGAGCAGTTGAGGTTCGAATGGGTGCTGACATTGGGTGTGTTGTAGGTGGTGGCTTCACCCGCTGCGCTCAAATACTAACCTCCTGAATTTTCTAAACCATTTTGGATTCTGTAATTTTTTTTTAGTATAAAAACAGCTACAGTTCTATTGATTACTTAATGAATGAACATTTGATGTTATTTGTATTAAGACTTTTCTAATTCTGCTATTTTGGTTTTGTATCATAGAATAAATTTGGCTACATTTTTCCTATTGCAAAGAAATACAGCAATGAGAGAATTAACAGCAAAATGATAGTGCTGACTTCCATATCTTTAATAATTATTAATTATATGGCTTAGACAAGTGCATCCACAAATACTTAGCTCCACCATGGTACACATTTAGAAGTCCTGAAGAGAACAGAACAGTTCTCCTGTAGGCTAATTTCAGGTTTGTAGAAATCATTATGCATTTCTGAAAATTAATTTGCTTATATTACTTTAAAACACAAATAGAAACTGTTCCCATTTGCTGAACATTTAACATAGGATTGAATACAAAGGTTGTTTTCATTCATCTGTAAAATGTAAAGTGTTAACAAAATTGGACTACTGTTATGGGCAGGAAGGGGCCACAAAATCTATCCCATTTGTAAAAGACAAAGACTTTGAGAAACAGTCGATTCTTGGTAATTTTCTGAAATATTTATTTTCTATTATAAAATAATTACTTATTCAACTATTTATACTTTTGATATGCCTGGTATGTTACATACATTTGTTTAAGCTGGGGAAATATTCTCACTTCCAATTTTCTTTGTTTTATTTGAAAGGCAGGGGAAGAGAACTAGATTGGTCAATCGTTGATTCACTGATTTACTCCTCAAATGCTGTAGGAGGATTGGTTTCAGAGCTAGGATTTGAGTTCAGTTTTTTTTTTTTTAAGATTTATTTATTTATTGGAAAGTCAGATATACAGAGAGGAGGAGAGACAGAAAGGAAGATCTTCCGTCCGATGATTCACTCCCCAAGTGATCACAATGACAGGTGCAGCACCGATCCAGAAGCCAGGAGCCAGGGACTTCTTCCGGGTATCTCACACAGGTGCAGGGTCCCAAAGCTTTGGGCTGTCCTCAACTGCTTTCCTGAGCCACAAGCAGGGAGCTGGATGGGAAGTGGAGCTGCTGGGATTAGAACCGGCGCCCATATGGGATCCCAGGCGCGTTCAAGGTGAGGACTTTAGCCACTAGGCCATGCCGCCGGGCCCTTGTGTTCAGTTTTATGGACTCCGTTTTCTCCTTATTTTATAATGCTCCACTGGCCAATTTCAAGTACTAATACCACGGATTAATGTTACTATTTGTCAATATTTCTGTATTTAAATAGAATACAAATCACATGTATAATACAGAATTTCGATGAAGCAATTAACTATGCAAAAAGAAATCCATGGTATTTTTGAATATATAATTTAACCAAGTGAGATCAAAGTGTTACCAGCAAAGCTAAGTGGGTT